TGGAGCAAGTCTAGGTGAAGCAGAAACAGAGGCCAGGAGGGAGGTGCGCATCGCCGTGGGGCACCCTCAGGATAAAGCAAAGAGGGAAACGGAGAGGAGAGGGGGCAGCTGGGCGGGGAGCGGCGTGCCCCGGGCCGCACTGGAGGTGCCTTCTATTTGGCCGGGGTGCGCCCGAGCGGCCAGGGGTTTTGGTACGATTTCTGGGGCAGATCAAACACATGCAGGTACTTAGAGATGCCGGCCCCTGGGGCCCCACTGAGCTCAGGAACTGACCAAGCCTGCCCTGTCCCCGTGTCACCGACCACCATCGGACAAGACCCCTGACCAGCACGGTGGCCTCGCTCCCAGGCCCCCCAGCAGCTGGTAGGAGCGGGTGGTTTAGAAGTTTGGAGCCACAGAGAATAAAGTCACTGCACCCGATCAGCATGGCTCAGGGCCCACGCGACTCTCAGCCTGTTGTGTATTTGAAGAGAGTTGTTTCATTCTCGTTCTTAAAGTCCAGGCACGGAGTGTGGCTTCACACATGGGGGACCTCCTGCCGAACTTGCCTGAGATCTCCCGCTGTCTCGGGCAGGACACAGCCCAGGACGACCGCGGGCGGAGGCCTTGCCGTGCTGAGTAATTAGCGGTGACGGCGCTCAGCTCAGGGGGACTCAGGGGCTGTGCGATCGGAGGATGTCATGCTGCCGCTGGCAGCAAAGGCACAGCGGGTAGATCAGGTAGAAGGATTGGACCGCCTTTGAGGGCACAGTAGGTTCCCAGGGGCGTGGGTGGTGGGTTGATTTCTGTCTGGTTTCTTCAGCCAACAGCCGGTGCCCAGGTGATCCCTGTGCCCTTCCCGCGCTTCCTCTCAGAGAAGAACTTCAACTCGGGTTCTCCCTGCAAAATAGAACTCTCCACCCGACATGAGGAAGGAGCCTCATTCCTGGGGGGCATCGCCCAGCACAACCTTTGAGTGTGGGGCATCAGAGATAACGCGGGCAGTGGCGGGTTCCTCGGAGGCCCTGTGTTTAACGATGCCCCCATCTGGGAGCCTGGCCAGACTGCCACCTCCTCGGCGGGACTCCGGGTCGCCCTGAGTAGTATGTGCTTCTGTGGATCTCCATTTTATCTGCTCCCTCCTGCCCAGGAGGTCAGCGCTGGTGCGTGTGTTGCAATCTTGCTTGAATTTTTCATCTTTGGACTCTCTAGCTATAGGCCTGGGAGTTGGAAACCCCTGGGAATCCAGGACCCACCTGAGAGGCGAGGTGTTCATCATTCTGATGGGATTTTTATTTTCTGGAGTTGGGGTGGCTGAGGTCAATGTGGTCAGCATGGGCGGGCGGTAATTCAGTCCCACCAGGAGCAGAACGGCTGCGGACCTGGACCCCCCTCAGAGCCTGGGGGGGGTAGAAGCTGAGTTTGGGGAGTGTTTTCAGACAGGCAGGTAGCAGGGGTCCCATAAACGCACCGCGCCGTGGTCCTGTTGGCCAGATTCTGCTTCTTAGGAGAGTCCATTAGAGTGGCTCCCCCCGGTCTGGCATTAAGGACACCTACACCCTCTCCTGCCTCCTTCTGCTCTTGTTTTCTTTTTCAGTAAGTGCCCGTGCCTCACCAAACTGTCTGACCCAGACCGCTCGCGGATGCTGGGGCGGGAGAGCTGAAACCGTACTGTGTGCTTGTCACTGCTGGTCCACTTTTCTCCAACACAGTCACCTGCCATCAGACAACATGCCCACAGCCTCCCTCGTGGTCACAGGTGAACGGCTCTGCTTGCGAGAGGCACTTGCTCTCCTCTCTAGACTCAGAATCACAGCCTCTGACAATCCTCAACACCAATAGAGACCCAACGACTGGGCGTGTTCAGTGACTCCTGGCAGAAAGGAAAAAAAAAATCTCACTTGAACACGATAAAATGCTATAAAAATGTGTATTCTGCTACTTTTCATGAGAAATTTATTTGGAGGAATTTTTTTTCTAAATTTCACCTAGCTGATTTTCATCTGTACTTAACTATTTGTTTTACTTTTAGGGACAATACATGAAAATGAGGTGAAATATACAACATTTTCCATGAACCAAACTTAGGAGATTAAATCTTGCCCCAAGTGGAAGAGCTAAATAGTGGATTTTAATTACTTTTTCCCCATGGGCTTCCCCCCACCCTGATTCTTGCATTTCCCCCTTAGGTTGCAATGATTAATTTGCAAGTTGAGTCCCTGACTAGCCATGGAATGAGGCAGAGTGTATGAGGGGGGAGATCAGGCACCACCTTTTAACTGAGCAGGTGAAGAACGGCTTTCCCCCAGGCCGGTGGCGTCAGCGAGAGGGCGTGCGGGTCACCCGGGGCCAGGCCTCCGCCCCGCTGGGCCTGGGCAGCCGCGCCTCCATGTATTAGGCCCCGTGCTCTGGTGCAGACAGGCTGCTCGGCATCTTCCGAGGCAGCTCCCGTGCCCTATTTTCCATTCCCAGGTTGTGCAGAAACCACAGTTTTTTGACTCTGATACTAAGGCAGCCCATGGATCCATTCTTACGGGACAGCAGTCACAAGGGTACACGGTGTTTTTTCTTGAATAAATCCCGAGGCCTCGGAAACCCCCCCTTCTCTGCCCACTGTTTCCTCTACCCCGCTTTCTCTAACAGCTCTTTGGGGGGCTGAGAGTCTAAATATAAAGCGTAACGCTCAACTGGTGTAGGCGGCATGCTCACTGGAAGCCGCCTTAGTGCTGGCTTAGCACGGAGTGGAAATGGCTCGTGTTATGCAGCCTGTAAAAAATTCCTGGTGCTCAGCCCCCATGAAATGGATTGCTTATGGGGAGATAATGTCTGTTCTATTCCTTTTTAAGTCTGTGAAAAATGTCATCCCGGTTAATAGGGTGATTAAAACTCTTTATGCTCCAGGAGATCAATGTGATTATGTTTGTCATACTCTATCGAGATAAAGACAGCACAGGCAAACTTGAAATTCCATAACATTTCCTCTTCCATATCCAGGAACATTCAGAACTCAATACACAGATGGTACTTCACATAAAGAATAACATTATCTGTGAAACATTTTTCCTTTCCATTAACCAATTTAACAATATGCCTCTGGTACAGAGGAGTAGACAAATGACTCCATCTTCTGATATCTGAGCCCTGAGTGCAGAAAAATACCAGTCGTCACACTGATTGTTTTTCTTTCCATTTCACCTCTGTTACTTCATCTTGGCTTTTAAAATGCAACCAGAGCCTAAGCTCGGTGCCCATTCTAGGGACTCTGTCCCCGTCAAACTTCCCTCAGCAGGTGACTCACGATCGTTATGTGATCCCTGCCACCCCTCAGGGACCACGATACATGTGGAAGGGTTTTGTAAACAGTGGGCATGCCACACGAGCTGTATTCAGACATTCACTCCTCCCGGCCTCCCACGTGCCGGCCCGTGGGGACCGAGTGCACCCCGTGCCCCTGGCGCCCTCCCAGGGCTGGGCTGCCATGGGTGCCAGCAGTGGGCGCTGTCCCATGTTTCCAAGGCCATGAGAGGAGTTGCTACCCTAACGGAGCTTACAAGGCAGGAACCTATTAAATCAGTGTTTCTCAACCTTGGCTGCACATTAGAATCACCTGGGAATCTTCTTAAAAATCCTGATTTCTGGGCCTCATCCTCCGGAAATTCTGTTTCTTTGTTACTATTGTTGTGGCCCCACCTCATAACAAAGAAACAGAATTTCCTGAGGATGGGGCCCAGAAATCAGGATTTTAAAAAGATTCCCAGGTGATTCTAATGTGCAGCCAAGGTTGAGAACCACTGTATTAAATAGAATCAAGATTGATAATGATTTTCCCTTTTATTATCCCAGACAAGCTAGACATTCTCATTTTCTCCCACTCAGTGGAGGGCTTTTAAAAAATCAATAGCTGTTCTCCACCTAAGGAAAATAAAAATCTAGATTCTAGCTGTAAGTAGTTGTAGGTAGCTCCCATTCTATTAGGGGAACCTAGGCTCAGACTAATAATATGGACAAAAGCCCGTTCAATTAGGTTCCAGCCTTTCTCCCCTTCATTCATTCAGAGGCTGGTGTTGAGGGAGGTCATCGAGAAGACGTGACTGCTGGTTGGCCGGAGAGCTAGACCTGGGCAATGGAGGCTCCCCACCCCTCCTGTCCCTGGGATGTGCGCCCTGCTTGCCCTCCAGGCTCCCAGAAGCCTTGAGACAGAATGTGGCACTGAGACTATCTAGATCAGTGGTTCTCAACCTTCCTAATGCCTCGACCCTTTAATACAGTTCCTCATGTTATGGTGACCCCCAACCATAAAATTATTTTCGTTGCTACTTCATAAGTGTAATTTTGCTACTGGTATGAATCGTCATGTAAATATCTGATATGCAGGATGTATTTTCATTGTTACAAATTGAACATAATTAAAGCATAGTGATTAATCACAAAAACAATATGTCATTATATATGTGTTTTCAGATGGTCTTAGGCGACCCCTGTGAAAGGGTTGTTCGACCCCCAAAGGGGTCGCAACCCACAGGTTGAGAACCGCTGATCTAGATGGTGTATGTGACTGAGTCCACTTAGGGCCTCTACATAAACTGTTAAGATTTGGAGGACAAATTGTGGAAAACTACTCAGTCTTGAGGCCGCCCAAGACCAGCCTGGTAAGGAGGTTCCTCCGCTCATTAAGCCTGCCCCCTACCCTCTCCCTGCCCCCAGAAAGGGGCTGGTTTCAGATTCCACTTGGGAAGCTCCCAGGAGGTTGTGAAGCAACAGCTAGAAATCTTTCCTTAGCTGAGATGTAGTTAAAAATGAAAGACGGGTGAAGAGTTTTTGCTGCACCACATACCCTGATCAACTTTACAATCCTTTCTGTTTAGTCTGGGATTTTTAACAGGTTACAGATGGATCCCAGAATTAATTAATAATGCAGCACTTTTAACAGGGTAATGTGGTGCAGAGAAAAATGTAATGTTATATACTTGACATTTCACTTAAAAATTTTCCTTAGGACTAAAAGATTTCATTATAACAGATTAATTTCAAATATACTTTATTAAACCTGATTGCTAATTAGGGCCTAAACAATGATAAAGAAATTAGACAATTGATATTCAACCAGAGGTTATTTTTCCGGACATACTGACATATCCTTTTTCTTTAAAATTTTTAAATCTCCAGTAAAAAATAATTGCAATTAGACATTATTCTGTTTTCTGTAAGAGCTCGTGGAGGACAGAAAAGGGTTGGGTGTGTATATAAGAATTTGCCAGTTTCATCAGCAAGGCAGTACTAAATAATTAATATTGAGACTTAACACTCAGATAATTTTCTGGTTAAAAATACTTGTTTAGATAGGCGATAACTGGGCAATTTTGACATTGACAACTGAGACAAAACTACAAACTGTCAGTTAATGTTTAGGGACCCGGGACCAATTTCTCAAAATACTATGTCTAATACCCATGATGTCTTACCCTTATTTGAGCACAGCTGTACCTTTCCAAGCCGTTGTAATCTGTCACTGGCTCTTGCCCAATGGGAGCATTTACAGGCTGCAGGTGAGGCTGTAGGTCCGTACGGAGCACGTGCGGGTCAGACTGGCTCCGAGGGCAGCGCCCAGGCTCAGGCCCTCCCGGCCGTCACTGCAGAGTCTACGGCAGGAGCGAGTGTCCCAAGTCCCAACAGCCATGACCGACAGGCAAGCCCTGCTGAAACTCATTCAGTCAGGCACATCGAGGCACTGCTGCAGTTGGGACCTGTTATCAGCATTTTCCATCAGAGGCTGTTACAAACTTTTTTCAGGTACAGAACTTGGCTTCAGCTGTTATAGTCATAACACAGAAGTACTCCCCGGGGATCTCCTCCACACAGAGAAGTTATCGTATCATCATTTTAAACGGTCTTCCTGACTTTGGGAAAAATTTGTCCTCCACCCCCACCACCCACCCCCAACACGACATGTGCATATGCGCAGGCGCGCCACGTGAAGTTTACAGCAAAGCGAGGGACAGTGTGAACACACGGCCGTGTCCACCCGCGGGCAGAGCACGCTGGGCGCGTCTTCCCGAGGAGAAATCCGTGAGTCCCTTGGCTGCGGGCGTCTCCGAAGCCACGCTCTGTAACAACGCTTTGGGAATCCCCGCCATGCTCATCTCATTTGGATTTCAATGCTTCCTCCCACTCAACAGCGGGTTGGGAGTTCCTGGGAATTGCTGGAAATATTGATTGCATTTTGCTTCGAAAGTCTTTCATCTAAAAGAAAGAAGAAGTTCACCATCAAATGTTAAAAGAAGGGAAAGAGCCACACAATTAGGCCGCAGCTGAGGCGGGAGGGCACTTCACTGCTCGAGGCGGATGAAGACCAGTAACAGGTAAGAAACCATCCAGCTCCTTGGAAGACAATGAGGTACACCCCTTTCCTCCTACGTATCACCCTTCGGGGCCTTTAATGACATAAAACTCCACTCTGGCTCGGGAAAGCAGCAGGCTCGCACGTCCCCGGCCTGACAGTGACTCCCCCGGAGGCAGGGGCATTGCCGGCTTTCACAGGAAAGAGCCACTGAGAGCCAGGGTTGTCCACCTGAACCCATGGAAACACTCAGGTCGATCCAAGTCAGAATTTTAGAGCCAGAGGGAGTGGAGAGAAGAAACTCAGTAGGGAGTTAATAAAAGAATGGGTCAGTGAATGGCAGGTAAACTGGATGTTTTTATGTGCCAGACAGTGTTGGAAAATCCAGGCGGAGGTTCATTTGGAATCCGGGAGCCAGAGCAGGGAAGTGGAAGATCTTAATTCCAGGGTCAACCTGGGGCACCTGGCTCCACCTACAGGCCCACCACCCTCAGGGGCGGGGGCGGGGTGGGGAGGGAGACACGCATTTATGGGAGCTGGATAAGTTTCACATTGCAGAGTACTAGCTACATGCTCTTTGGTTCATTCTTTTGTATCTGCACGTCCCGCTATGGGGAAATTTCAGCAGCACTGCTGCGCAACCCTGCCATTTCTCATCAGCCACACCCCGCACAGCCCAAGGCTGCAGATCTCCCCAGGGTGTGTGAGGCGCCCTGGGCTCAGCAACTGAGCTCAATTCGTTGTCATCCTGAGAGTCAGCTAATTTCTTTGTATGGTGATGCTTACTTATTTCCATTTGAACCGGATCCTTACTTGGCTTCCAAATTCAGGGGTGTATCTTGTGTGGGACCTGTGGATGCCTGGGCACTGCTGTGAGCAGCACAGGCTCGGACAGGCCTCTCTGTGCAAACCCAGGCCCAACGCCTGGGAAAGCTGCTTCTGCTGAGCAGTCATGTCCAGGTGTGTGGAATGGAGGCAATTGCCTGCTCCAGGGTTGTGAGGAGTAAGATATACATAGGAAGCCCAGCACCGAACACTTGTAAGTGCCCAATATAACTAGCTACCGCCATTACCGCTTCATCAAAATACACGTACTATGTTCCAAGAACAAAGCTCATATGGATATAAATGTTATGGTACGTTTATGAAGAGTATTATTTTATAGTTATATGTCATTTTGGTTTAAGCACTGACACTAGAAGATACATACGGCTATATCCATTACAGTAGTCCATGACAGTATCTATACAGTGTCAGTGTCGGGTCCCAGACACCAATCTTGAAGACACACGTGTGCACGGGATGGTGCACCCCCTCTTACGTGCCGCTCTCTCATTTGTACTGTGATGAACCCTTCAGGGGAGGTTGTTAGGGGCAGGACTGCATCCCTGGGGAGGGCCTGAAAGTGCGGGGTGTTTTTGGTTGTCACATCACAGGGGACCACTACTTTCACCTTGGAGGGCATGGGTGCGTCATGTCCAGGGTGGCCCACAAAGAGAACGGTGTTGTCCAAAACACCACGTGCCCCTGCTGAGGAGATGTGCATCGGCCTTTCTCAGTTGAAAGACGTGTAGACAGCTCTCTGGTTTGCAATGTGCTGCCTGGTTCTTTTCCTTCGCTTTTCTGGTTGCACATTTGTTACCACTCGGCCTAATGTGAGGGTTTTCGAATGGAGTGTCAGGTAGCCAGCACACGGACAGAATCACCTACTGCTCCACCTTCCCAGCGATCTGGGACATGGCCGGTTGCTGAGAAGGGGGATGCTGGGCAATGCATCCGGGTCCGGGTAGGAGAGGAAGGGGTGGCTGCCCTTCCTCAGCATGGTCTGTTCCCATTCTCTCCTTATGGCCCGATTTTTTTCTTCCCTCCCATTTCTCCAGTATTGCATTATTCACAGGTACCCAGGGTCCTAAGTGAGTAACTGAGCCACTAGAAGGAACCATATCTCAGAAACAGCCCACTAGGGACAGGCTTCAGAGCGAGATAAGGGAGGAGGCAAGTGGGATAAGAACACCATTCAGCCCTCTCCTTTAAGGTTGCAGCGGCGGAAATGGAAACCCAGAGTCCACATTTCATTACAACAGGGTCTCAAGTTGCTTTAAACAATGGGACTTCATAGGTTTTAAAGCATATACTATTTATATTGCATGCACAGTAAATGGAAACCTCCAGTTTTCCCACCTAGATCCATTTCTGATATGCGCTTCAGAGGTGTAGGTCTTACCAGTGATACTCTTATCACAGCCCAGCAGAACACTCTGCTGCTTTAAAGTGTGCTGGAAAAGATGGAGGGCTTGGGTACATTTTGACAAACTTGGTTATTAATGTACTGAAGTCCATGATCACAATCACAGCCAGTGCCATAGAACCATCCCTACTCTATACCCCAAAAGCTTGGTGAAGATGGGGCATGCTGGGAACTAGTGTCTCCATCCAGCAATTCAGTTTCATTCCAAACTCTGGGATCTGCTCCCTCTGAGCAGGGAGTTTTCTGTGGCTCTGGCCCAGAGGGCTCCCCTTCTGAGCACGCAGCCGCGCACTGCACAACCCAGGTGCTCCCCACAGATGATGGCACTCCCTAGGCACTGAGCCTGCTGCCCCGAGAACTGCTCTCTTAGGTCCCAGTGTTTGTGCTGGGTTCTAACATTATCAGAAAGTACAGTGTCCAAGGCAGCAGTTCTCAAATGGAGTGTCATGGCAACGGGTAATTTGTCACTAATCCGGACGTTCTGAAGACTGGATCCAATAGACTTTTTAGACATTAGAACAGATTCAAGAGTACATCTCTAATAATGTCGCTTTCCTCCACATTTCAGTAGCTTCTGGAAGGGCCAGGAGTGAACATGGGCTGTGCTGTGTATTTACCATGCATGTCCTAGTGGGGAAAACCAATGTGAAAACTTTCAGTCTAATATGTGGTATGCTGAGAAATTACTTAAGAGCTTCAGGATACAAATAAGCCAGTCAGAGAAAGATAAATACCATATGATATTACTTATCTGTGGAATCTAATGAACAAATTAACTGATGAACAAAAGAGAAACAGAGCCATAGGAACATGGAAGAGTCTGACAGAGGTCAGAGGGAGGGGGAACTGGATAAAAGAAACTAAAGGAGCCAAGGAACATATATGCAAGCCCATGGACACAGACAACAGAGTGGTGAAGGCCAAGGGAAGGCGGCGGGGCTGGGTGGAGGTGGGAAAAGTGGGGGAAATGGTGAACATCTGTAATAATGTCAACAACAAAAAAAAGCTTCAGGATATGTCCCTGATATAGTTAATTTCATAAAATCCTTACAGCATTGATTCTAATAAATAGGTAGTTGCTGGGATTAAAAGCTCCAAGTTGTAAAGTGCCTTTGCCATTGACCAGCTTATCTGCAGGTCGGCCTCAGTGCTGGGGTTAGAATGATGAAAGCTTTCTAGGATCAAAGCCTTTGGACATGTCAATAATTACAGCACCAGTGGTAATTTTGAAGACCTTGGAAATTCAGCCTCTTCATAAACTAAAACAGAATAAGACTATAAATGTTACCTTAACAGGAATAATAATGTCTGCCATCTAGGATCACCTACGAGGCAGGCGCTGTACCAAGAAACAGGCGATTATGTAGCCTTCACAATTCTATGTGGCAGAAACGAGGACTGTCAGTTTACACGGAGCAACCAGGGACCAGAGAGGTCACCCGGTCATGGTGACATGGTTTACAAGTACAACTGCCTGACTGATGTCCAGAGCTCGCTCTTGACAGTCACTCTGGTTCTGTGACCTGGGAAGACACAGTACCTCTATAGCCTCTACTATGAGCTTCACTAAAAACGACTATACATGGTGACCGTTTTATATAGGATGGCATGCAGATTGTTACCCATGTTCACCAAGAGCCTGTACTCATTCACTCATGGATACAGAGCGGTCAGACTTCTCTACCCTTTTTTGAAGTTAGGTGACCATTTGACCAGTTCTGGCAAATGAAATGCAATAGAAATGAAATGTCACTTGTGGGATGAAGCATTTAACTACAGGTGTTTGATTCTCCAGGCCTCTCTTCCCTTTCCATAACAAGCATGGAAGTCAAGGCAATCTGAGATACTAAGCCAGCTTATGGAGGACAGCTTCCCTAGAGTCGTGTAAACCAACAGTGGATTTTATACGAGACAGAAATAAACTTTTGAGCTGCACACTTGGAGATTGTTTTTTAGTGCAGTATAACCCAACATATCCTGACATTAATGATGAAGAGAATTATAAGATACAAGATACAAGATATGCTCTGATGCTGTTCAATAGGACGTTAACGTTAGCTGAAACATGGCTGAAACAAGGAGAGGAGAAACTGTGCAGTTGAGCTTAAAGAACTCTTATAACTATCTGGAACAAATGAACCCACACCCTACCCCCTTCAGGGTGCTCAATACATCAATCAGTCCCATTATATGATACTAGAGGCCTGGTACACGAATTCGTGCACCAGTAGGTCCCTCGGCCTAGCCTGCAAGATCGGGCCAAAACTGGCTCTTCGACATCCCCCAAGGGATCCCAGATTGTGAAAGGGCGCAGGCCAGGCCGAGGGACCCCACCGGTGCATGATCGGAGCTGGGAAGGGATGGGGGAGGTTGGCCAGCTGGGGAGGGACCACAGGAGGGCTCTAGGGCGTGTCCGGCCCATCTCGCTCAGTCCGAATTGGCCAGACTCCAGCAGCAAGCTAACCTACCAGTCAGAGCGTCTGCCCCCTGGTGGTCAGTGCACGTCATAGTGAGTGGTTGAGCAGCCTTACCACATCATTAGCATATTATGCTTCGATTGGTTGAATGGTTGATGGGACTCTTAGCATATTAGGCTTTTCTTATACGGGACTGCTTCCTAGGGAATCAGAACACTTCTAGATGTTGTCAATGAAA